ACAGTCTCTGCTGTGATCTGAGGAAACACAGAAAATGATTGGTACTTTGCCAGTTTTAAAGGGGTCATATGATGCCATTTCAGTTTTTCCTTTCTCTTTGGAGTGTTACAAGCTCTTGGTGCATAAAGACGATCTGTAAAGTTGCAAAGACTAAAGTCTCAAATCCAAAGAGATATTCTTTATAAAAGTTAAGAGTCAACCACGCCTACCTAAAACAGCTCGTTCTAACACGCCCCCACATGTCTACGTCATGATGTGGGAAGATTTGCATAACGCTGCCCAAATGTTCACGCAAAGAAAGAAGGCGTAACTTTTATTCTCGCTGTATTGTTGTTGCCGCAGCCACCATGTCGTGAGGGAGCTGTGTTTCGTTGTGAAAGCGAAACTACTTTGTTTGGCCTTCCAAAAGAGGACAATATCCGCTTCGTCATGCCTAGAGCTGATCCGTGCTGGTCGCTGAGGAAATGCATCAACTTCGTGTTGTGGCTCGCCAGAAAGGAGCATCCGGTGGGCTTGCGGCAACCACATATGACGACCCCGGGCTGGCGTAACATTTCCGTCACACGCTCGAGGTATTCGGCCAATCACAACGCACTGGATAGCTGGCCAAGCAGAGCACACCTCGCTTTTCAGACCGATGAGCTTTGTAATTGCGGCAACCACATATGACGACCCCGGGCTGGCGTAACATTTCCGTCACACGCTCGAGGTATTCGGCCAATCACAACGCACTGGATAGCTGGCCAAGCAGAGCACACCTCGCTTTTCAGACCGATGAGCTTTGTAAAAATCGACACGTTTCAGAAAGGTGGGGCATAGAGGAGAAACAATAGTGGTCAGTATGTGGAAAATAATGTGTTTATGCGGTTTAAGGTAAAAAAAAAACACATTTCATTACACCAGATACACAAAATAATGTTCTTTTTAGCAGCATCATATGACCCCTTTAAACCTCTCCACAGTTTGTGCCTCTTCTCAAAGTTAATCTGCTCTGCTGTGATTCCCAGGAATCTGTGGTCTGTAAATAAAAATGTGTTTATTATTTTATTCTCACATTTTTTATATGTGTAATAATAATAATAATAATAATAATAATAATATTATAATAATATTAAATATAATAATATAAGCAATTAATTTATTTCATTTATCATGTATTATTAATTTGGAAAAGGTCACTACATAACCAAAATCAAATTTGCCTTAATCAGGATCAAAGTACCAGCTGCCAGTGCAAAAAAAATAAAATAAAATACACCGGGACCTGTCACTTTAAATGAGGAAAATGTGTAACGATAATAGCCATACAAAGAGCCCTTATCATTAGTTTAGGGCAATTTTGATTATATTCTGTTTCAACTGAGCAACCTGTGACAGCTTTCTAAACAAATCTGTAGTATGTGATAAAAATGCTTTATAGATATTTCATGACACTACAATAATCCCATACCAGCCTCATATTACTACCCATATAATCTCTGTGTAGTTCATTGGTAAAATTTTTTTTAACTTACCATGCTTTTAGTATCAAAGGTTTGGGGAATATTGGCGAACAATTTGTCATTCAACTTGAACTGAAATATGACTAGGATGACTACATTTCTCTGTGACCGCTAATAAATCACACATTACAATTGAAGAACTCTTTTGTGTTAGCCATGTTACATTGTAAATATAAAACATTAATTACTATATTTTCCCAAGGGGGACATGACATTTTGAGCTGTAGCAAAAAATAACATTTGGGAAGAACAGGAAGGGTGAGCACAGTGGGGAAATGAATAAGACAGAATAAAAGGAGATGAAAGCAATAGAAGAGAAGAACATTTTGATACTTTGCTAAGCCAGCTGAGAACTGAAAATAGGTCAAAATGACAAACAAATTACAATGAAGTTGATGACAGAAAAAAAACATAAAAATAGAAAAAGAGAGAGAGAGAGAGAGAGAGAGAGAGAGAGAGAGAGAGGGGTTCATTTAAGTTTAACTGAAGCTTCAACCCATATACACAGCACTTCACTTGCTTTTATTGCCATTGTACACACACATTCACACACACTGTATATAACATTGTGTGTGCTTGTGGATGTTTAGCATGGCATGGCACCAGCTTTTTTATAGTCTCATTTGGATTGCGTGTTTGTGTGTTGTCTAGTTTACACACTTTGTATTTCCCAGCAGCCCCATGACTTCTCGACCCTGCATACCTGCTTTTACATCCTCTCACCCCTTATGTCACACTTTGTTTTCTCTCAGTCTGACCTCAAGAGAACAATGTGGCTGCATTCAACAAAAAAAGAGAACAAATAAAGTAAGAAAATAAACATTATTAACCAGTTGTTTCAGCAGTTGAAAACATAAAACCGACAAGAAAAACTAAAAGAAAAAGGCAAGACCCAAACATTTTATCAGACAATGAGCACTCCATGTTTTTAGCACTGTCTATTTTTGCTCCCTAGCTTTGCCACCTGCTGAGAGGAAGCTTTATTTCAACATCCATTATTCACAGCTTCCACTTCTTTGGAACTTTCAGATAGAATGGATTCAACTTACACGGTTCTTCTTCAGTCCACTGGACTGACTCTTAAGTGCCTAGGAATCGTAAAAAATATGGAGTACAGTTTCTCTTTAAATGTGAAGTTTGTAATTTCTGCACCGTATAGCATCACCAAACAGGCCTATGCCATTGGTTGGCCAAATAGGTGGTTCTATCCCAAACTGCCATTGATTGAGCTAATATTGCTTTGTTGGAATGTTTAGGATTCTCAAACAAACAGAGCACCAATGACCAGCCCTGGTTGTTTTCTATCATATTTATAGTTGAAGACATTGGCGCTATCTATTGTCACAAGTCTTCATCTTCCGATATGTAACTTATTATACATTGCTGAGCCTGAACAAGTGCTTTTTCTTTTTCTCGTATTCAGAGGATGAATGGATTAGCAGTATTTTCTCCCTGAACAAGCTCTCCGCTTTTCACTTTTATTCCTCCAATCCTTCCCCCCCTTGGGGATATCCTGTGTGTGTGCCACGCTGCATACGCTGCCTGTAATGTTCTGATTTCGTGCTCACTGACTCCTGTCTTATCGCCTTAGCCATTTCTGGAAGGAGTTGATCTTTATCGCCCTTTTCAATCCCGCCAGCGAGGCCACAAACGCATGTTGAAATAAGATACAGGCAGTGCTCATACCACAAACCATGTTCAACATGAGAGTCTTCTGAGTCTTATCCTAAATACAATGGAACCTCATAAGTAACTGATTTTTAAACACTCTACTTGGCAACAACTTTGGACATAGCAAATGGCACTCCTCATTTACAGTAAAAGCATGGGAGACATGCTAGCATCTTATGTTTAATTTCTTCTCAATTTGTCTGCCATTTTGGATTTATTTTCCCCAATGCAGTGTTGCCTTTTATGGCCAAAAAGTGTCTTAGAAGATCTTACCTTTATGTACAGCCAATGGACTTTGTTCATGATGCCTTACATTGTTTACTAGCTAGGCATCTCACTACGTTTTGGAGTTGACATTTTTCCTTTGTCCACTAACTCATACTAAATTCCTAAAATATTCCCTCTCCCTCCAAATATCTGTGCCATCCTCACTTGCTGTTATTTGGGAAAACATCGCCAATCAAACATCAACTCCGACTCCATTTACAATCAGCAGCTTTTTTGCTTTGTCGCCCCCATTGCCGTGTAATCTGGATGGAAAGATAGATAATTGAGTTTTGCTGCTTCATGCATACATTGATACCAACAGAGCCTTTTAAAAGCCTGTCTGTGTACAGAACTCTGACTATGACCTGTCCTGGTCCACTAGCACTCTGTTATATTAGACTGCGCTTAGACAGATGCATACAGGCCCTGAGTGCTCCTAATGCCTCTCTCTGCCTCACACATACACAATCACACTCACTCATGCTAAAAGAAAGAACCATGTGAGTGGGTAGGGGACGCAATGGACTGAAAAGGTAGATCCCAGAAAGAAAAACAGGGATGGGTATCAATGAAGAGAGTGATCTAATGTGACACGGAGAAATAGAGAAGTTAAAACAGAGAGGGTGATGAAAGGCGAGAGATCTACGGTCTTTAATTAATATCAGCCTACCACTTTAAAAGCAAAACAAAATCCCCTATTGTCATCTACAGTACATCCCCATTGATTCAACCCAAAGACTTGAAGAGTCTTAAATCTGGGGATTTAGGTAGACTGCTGGTGTACGGGACAACCCCGCTTTCCTTCATGGGAAAATTAGCTCAATATAGGCTGGTACAATTTGTCTTCTGCACATGGCAAAGAAAGTTCATTGTCAGAAGCGTGACATGCCACACAAAGGTGTATTTACAGTAGCTACATTTACATGGAGCCTAATTATTTAAAAGCTTTCTTGGCATATTTTTAGGTATACTAGAAATTGTGACAATTATGGTGTGTCATGCTGAGTTTCCTAATATCTGTAGTCAGCTGACTGTTGCTTTCTCTGATAGAACCATTCAGAGGGCTCATAAGCTTCTCACTGTTATGCCTAAACTCACACTAAATTGACACTAGTTTGTGGATGGGGCTCCACCTCAAGTTTAGCAGGGGGTCCAACAGATTTGCAAGAGTTAGCCTGAACAATTCCATCGCTACATCAGGTCACAGATTAACACCGCAATAATGAGCAGTTAATGTACCACACTGATAGCTGCATGACTGTGTCTGTCATGTCTGTGTGTGTCACATGTTGGGTGTCGCAAATCACTGTGTGTCCCACCCTCCCCCTCTGGTTGTCTGGTAACTCTCAAGTCCATCCTGGAATGGGCACTAGGGGCTTTGGCCCCAAGACAATCGCTTCATCTCTTTCTCTTTGCCCTGAGGGGCACAGTTGATGAGAGAAAAGGGAGGGAGAGATTGACATTGACCCACCCCTAGGCCACGCCCCCCTGAGCTGGAGGACAAGGTCAAATGGTGCCTGGGCTGCAGGCTGACTCTTCGTTTTCTCCTCCTTTCTGCAGTGAAGAGCCACCTCCTCCTTCCATTACAACACCATCACCTGCTGCATCTCCATCACCTGGGGTGACTTCCAGCAGTGCCACCCAGCCCGAGGTTCAGGTGGCACCGCAGGTTGCAGGGAGCACCGTGACATCTGTCGATTCAGGAGGGGGAAATGGGGATCGAGATGGAGGTGACACGCAAGAGAGAGAGAGTGCAGAAGTGGAGAAGGAAGAGGTGAGGGTACAAGAGATTGAACAGGAGGAAGAAAAACCTCAGGCTCAACCGCCTCAACCAGTGCAGGAAGAGGTGAAGAAGGAGACAGGGGAGCAGGAAAAGGAAACAGCAAGTACAGGAGGCACAGGAAGGAGGCCAAGCTTGCATCACACTGCTTCGCCAATCAGAGTACAGAGGAATGGATCATGCAGCCACTCCACCACCTCCGACTATGAACTCTCGCTCGACCTCAAAAACAAGCAGGTAGGGAGCAAGGCACTGTGGGATTCAGTCTTGAGGACGTGTGAATGTATGCTTCAGGCTCTTGAGGATTGGCTGTTGTGCTTCCGATGGTTGCTTTTAGTGGCTGAGTGTGTTGGAATGTGTTGAAGTTGGTAAAGGCCGCTGGACCTTTTTTGGAATTGGATGTTTACAGGTTGATCATCCATCCTCATCTCATACACATCCATTACTATCTCCATCAGCTTTCTAACCTATCACAAGGCCTACATGGAAACTGCACTGAATTCTTTGGAATTATGGTAAAATGTGTGAAATGGAGTTGAAGAGTATTGGAGGCCATTCACTCAAGGTGTGTTCTTGCATTAAATAACACCTAAATGAAATTGAACAGAAGGTGTATGTATAGCCATATCAGCTACCATATACCATTAAAAAGATAATTTTTAAGCATTTAAACTATTTTTAACTTGGCACAGCATTTTAGCGATAATGCATTTAGGATCAAACATATATGTCCAGTGGATGTTTACACAAATCTGCAATGAAAAAAAAAAAAACAGATGCAAGAGCACATTCTTGGTAAATTGCCACATACACTTCAAATTAGCCACAATAAATGTAAGGGACAGGAGAAATCTGGAGCTTTCTGTGAAACTCACAGATTCTGTGCAGGCCTGCCTGTCATTCCTATTGCATTGTTTGGGGACTGATTATCAACCGATTAGTGATTTGCAACTCTCTAACTCTGTATCAAAACCCAGTTAACTGCCTACCCAAACAGCATTTTACACATTTGTTAGCTTAGCAACATGCTAATGTCAAACTTGTTCACACTTTATTTTAAGATCCAATTCTTGCTATTAACAAACCATTAACTACGACTTTTGGGTCAACAAACTCCTAATTTGATAATAAATGCTAATAGTTAGATTAGGGATGTAGAATATGCTGATGCAGAATATGTGCTTTATAAGGGCTAATAAACAGCCAATATGTTAATAATGGACATGCTAAAAAGCATCTAGTTAATAGTGAAAATTGGTCCCTATACTAAAGTGTTACCTCAAGCATTATTGGAATCAGTTGTGAGTTGAGTCTCCTTTTTGTGTATTGTTCAGAATTGCTGCCTATGTAGAATGTTCCAAATTTGACACCTGTTCAGTTCCAGGATACAGCCTATGTAGGCAGTAGACTACACGGCAGCTCACTATATTCTGGAAGAGAGCTATATCTATACTGGGGCTCAATTAGAGCGCAGACATGATTCTTTACAGTATATTATGGCTGAACAGAAAACACCAAGGCAGCTTCATTTAGGGGCTATCAGAGGTTTCTGAGAGGGGTACATTGGAGAGAATTAGATTGAGATGACAGAGATAGAGAGAGCAAAAGTGACAGCCAGAGAGATGGATGGGAGGAGAGGAGGAGAGGAGGAGAAAAGGTTGTGTTGTCATGGTAACACAGAGGTCCTCTTAAAATCCCCATCCTTCATTTTTTGTCATTTTCTTGCTGAGTGTTCATATTGCAAATTGCATTCCCCATCCCCCACTGTTTTTGCTCAGAAATATCTAATAGAATTATGTTTGCAAAATGACTGACAGTGATTTATTCTGCTTTTAATATAAATACAAAATTAAATTATATTTCAATAAAAATACATTCTGAAAAAGTAGCGTTACATATAATTTGGGAGAAAAACAAATAGGGATTACATATAGCTGGGGTTTTGCATGTTGAAAAATCTAGTTCAAAATAATCCTAATTTAATATATTTAATATAGATAATCTTAAATTAAAATAATTAGATGTAGTTCTATCATTCTGTATCACAATAATTAAAATATCACAAACATAATAGCTGTTAGGAAACATGCTAATACCACACATATACATTCAGTCAAAGTACATTTTAATCAAAAAGTTATATTTAATATTTTTTATCTAATTACTTAATTAATTACATTTATGTATTTTCTTCCATGTTGACATTTTATTTTAATTTTTTTTTAATTGTGGCAAGTTGTCACTATTAATTACATTCGCTACTATACATTCTATGCAACGTTTTACATTTTATTACTGTTTAATTAAACATTGCTAAAAGGTTTGTATTGGCAGGTTCACACTGTGACAAGTTAGTAGTCACATGTAGTGTGACAAAATACCCAGCTAATGAATGTAAGAACTTTTTTGCAATTTGGCCGTTTTTTAACCCCTGCGGACTTGCTCTTATTCGCATTTGCCATTTTAGGTTGATAAAGTGCTCAGACACGGTGTTGAAACATATCAGTATCCAATATAAAATTGGTTAGCACCATCCACACTACAGCCATTACCTTCTGACCCCTCATCCAAATAAAACAAATAGTTTGCAAATTGGACTGATAGATGTAGCACATATACCACCTTCACTATGTGTTAAGTATTTTGATTTCTTTATAACTTGATTATTATGATATATTTTACAGGATACATTGTTTAATATATATCAACCATGTATTATAGAATCCTTAAGTTAGTCCTTAAGTTATACATCATGTCATATTCAGATTTGGAAAGACATAGGTTCAAATTGGAGTAATAGGTTCAGGATCAGGAAGTGGGTGCATACATGAGACCAAACAAGTAAGCAAATTCTGCTGGCAGTTCTATAATATCAAAGAACAATGGACTATTCCAGGATTATGGTGAAATTGATCACTGTTCAATAATTGTTAATAGTATTATTGTGTAAATTAACTGAATACATGTAGTTTATATACACATAAAAAAGGGTATTTTAAAAAGGGTACATAAAAAAAAAATTACACACAGGGATGTCGGCTGGGACAGTTCACCCAAAATCTTTTACTCCCTCTTATGTTGTTACAAAGCCATATGGATTTCTTTTAGTAATAGGTCTCCTTGAAGTGTTCTTGTAACACAATGACATTAAAGTAGACAAGAAATTCAAAATATATAGATAATTTTACATAATTATTACTAAAAGTAACAAGTTCAAATGCATATGCAAAAGAAATGCAAGCTTAAATAAATGGCCTGTTTAGGAAGCTGTCAATACTACAGTATTTTGAATCTATTAAATCATCTTGAGAGTACCTGCTCATCCAGCTTGTCTTAATTTCCTGATCAAATGCATCACTTCTTTTTCCTTAGAGTTTCATAAGAGATGTTGTGTATTTTTTAGCGGACTTATTGCACTTCCCCGGGAGGTCCGCAATGTGCTATTATAAAGTATGACTACTAAATCTAGTGGTTTAATCTGCATGAAGAGAAAAGGTTTCTTGTACCGTCTATTGGATGAATGTTGAATTTATTCCTTTTTTTATTTAATCAACCATTACAAGTCCACCTCCTCAAGAAAATCATCTATCTGGCCCTCAGGATGGTTAGATAAAACATTACAGTAAAATAGAGTTTATCGGTCGTTTTGTCAAGGCATGAGCAAACGACTTCTTTAATATATTTTGGATGTACTTCCCTCAAAACTTTAAATATGTGTGGACATCATTTAGTTTAAAAATGAAGACAAGACAGCCTGGATGGCCAATGCAGTATTGGCCATTTAGTCAAGAAATATAATGAATTCCAGTTAATACTCATTATTAATGAGTACATTAATCTCCTGCACAGACAGGAGAAACGAGCAAAACATTCCACGGTTTTAACCTTTATTGAACAAATTTGTTGAATTAACTAAGTATGATGGATGAACACTTCCTAATTCTGTTGACTTTTTAATGTTTATTTAGATAACTTTTTGTAAGCTGGTTTGCAAGGTGATGTACTGAAATCAATATGTTGATACGAATGTGGTTGCAGTGTGAGACACTGTGCTATGTACAGACGTGTGTGTGTGTACTGGTATATATGGTTTATGAGGACACAAATGTGTATAATGACATGGGTACTACAACGTAAACATGGTTTATGAGGACACTTCATGTGTCCCTGTAAAACAAAAGGCTTAAAAAACATACAAAACAGTGTTTTATGAAATTCAAAAATTGCCAATAGTTTTCTGTAAGGGGTAGGTTAAGGTGTATGGTTGGTGTAGGGCGATAGAAAATACAGTTTGTACAGTATAAAAACCATTACGCCTATGGAGAGTCCCCATAAACCACAAATGCAAGTATGTGTGTGTGTGTGTCAGCATTTATGCTTGAGAAGATGAGTATATGCATTCACTTGTACGATTCTCTGTGTCTGCATTATGCCATTGATCTTCTGTCTGTAGAGATGTGAAATCTCTCCTGAAGGCAGATAAGGGTGCAGAGTCTGACACTGCGGATTAGTACTAGAGAATGCTAGTATCTCTCTCTCGGAGACACACAAACACACACGCACAAGCAAATGTATGCCCTAAATCCATATACTGAAACTTTTTAGTAGAGTTCTTTATTCAGGGGGTTTCAAACTAGTGTTGAGGAATCTATAGGGGCAAATTTTGCTAAATTTGAAAACGAATGAATGAATGAATAAACAATATATATATATATATATATATATATATATATATATATATATATATATATATATATATATATATATAT